CTGGTGGTTGTGTAATGGAACCTAGGGAATGAAACTACCTGGGCAAAAATGGGCCACGCACCCCTTCAGGAGCCAATCTGAATTCCACAAAGAACTTGGAAGCAGACACCTCAGTAAAGTGCCAAGTTTCATCTTGTTTAAAAAATTAAATAATGAAAACGATATTCTTAGTGGGGTTTCTTGTATTTTGGAGCTTCTTTCCTCCCCCCCATTGTAAGGCATCAAATTCATTCATTCAACTTTTATTCCACAATTAAATTAGTCCCAAGGACTCTCTAAGTAGATTACAAATTTGATAGTCTTCAGACTAAAAACCAAACAAACATTGTATTTATTTATTAGATTTATATTCCACCTTTTTCTTCTTTAAAGAACTCAGAGCAGCTTATATCCGTCACCTCCTTGCTCTCAGTCTTATCCCCACAACAACAATCCTGTAAGGTAGGCTGGGATTAGTCTGTGACTGGCCCAAAGTCACCCAGTTGGCCCCATGGCTGAGTGGGGACTAGAACCCGGATTGCCCGAGTCCCAGTCCCAGCTCTTAACCACTATACCTCACTGGCTGTCAGTGTGATTAGAAAAGATGGAGCACTTCAGTGATTTGCTCTCCCTAGGCATACCAGTACGGTGACAAATTCCACGGGCAACACGTGCATCAGACAAAATAAAAAAGTAATATCTTTTCGGCTCTCTGTTTTGGAACCTCAAAATTTAACTGTGTTCTGTAACAGTCAAACCTCCCACGAAACAGAAGCCAGTAGGCTTTCTTGCCTCCCTTTCTCCCCGAAATGGTGAAAAATGTTGAAAGTCAAGAAGCTGGGTGTGGCCGTCAAACCACCCATTTGATGGGAGGAGATCAAACTGGTTTTTCATGACTCCCTGCCTCGAGTGTCTCTCTTCTGTAACAGCAAGCGGCAGAGTGAATGCAGCCCTCTTCTAAATGTGGCATGAGACACGCCTGAGAGGTCTTCCCTTCAGCTTATGCATCACCCTGCAGGTGCTATCAACACGTCTGATTCTAAGCACATCGAGCCTTCTGGAGTTTTTAATGGCAGGAAGTGGACACACCAGCCTGGATGCTGCTTCTTGTTGACATATAAAGAAAAGGTTGCTGACGCCCGCAATAGCACCAGCTACTTACGTACCACCAGCAATGCTGTTAAAAGAGGTGTGCGGAACCTCAGGCCTGGGGACATGAAGGGAGAGACCCCTTCCCTGGCCTCACCCGCTTCTATCATGTGATGGTTTCTCAGCTTTTGTGCAAATGCTCTTCCCCCCCCAGCACCACATGATGCAGAACTTCCTCTCCTAAAGCTCAGTTACTATCAATCAAGAGCTTAGCACCCCATCCGGGGGCCCTCCAGTTCATCTGCAGGTAAAATTAGAGGCTTACCTGCATCCAGCGGGGAGAGCGAGGTGTGGCAGTGGCCATTTCCACCACTCACGGCGTCCCATTTTCAGCTGCCACAGGTAAGAAGCACCAGTGCAACTGAATGCTGCGGAACCCAAGTGCCAGCATCTTCCAGCAAAAATATTCCATGCACACTCTCTCTCTGTTCTCAGCCTTGAAATCAAGAGATGGCCTTAGGTGAGCAATTTTGGCGGTCTCCCTGTCCTTAACATGTGGATAATGCTGACCCAGTTACTGCTGTGAAAGCTACACGAAAATGCGTATGGACCGTCGAAACATGGGATGGGCCACTGGGAAGGAAGCCCAAGTGGAAGGTTGCTCCGGCATTCACGTCTGGCCCAGGGGCTTCCCATGGGGCACCTGGGGTGCTGCTGGGCTGGAGAGGCCAGCAGGCTTGTTTGATGCCAAGGTGAGAAGAGGTTGCAGCAGCTGAGACTGTTCAGCATAGAAAAATGGCGAGGAAGGGAAGAGGGTTTAAAATAATGCACAGTGTGAAGAAAGAGGGGGAGCCGTTTTCCCCTCTCCTGTAGCACTTGAACCGGGGGTCATCCCATGAAGCTGACTGGGCGATCCTGCGTGGACAAAGAGCAGCTGGGAATGGCCATTTTCACCGCACCTATGTGTACCAAAGCCAGCATCCCTCGGATGCTCAGGGGTGACACCTGTCTGTGCGATCCGCTCATCGGTCCCCACACCTTACATTTTCTTTCAAAGCGTGGAGAAGGTAGCAATTATGCCGCTTTGTGCCAATTCTCGCCAGTTACATGTGGCACATTCTTCCACAGAAAAAGCCAAGCCCTAGCCCTGCCCTTTCGCCGTCCAGGTGTGTCCACAGCAGAGCCTTGGGCAACAGCTCTGACTCATGGTGGAGGATTGAATGGAATTCTTCACCATATACAGCCCCAGAATCCTCCCTGTCACTCAAGCTCCAGGTGTCAGCCTGGCATAGAACCTCAAGGCCTACTGCAAGGAGGAAGATGCCCATTAAAACAATGTTTTAATTATTGTTCAATTAAACAATGGAAGCAGCTTCAACCAAGTGGGCTCATGCTCCATCATCTGCCACCTTCCAGGTGGTCCTTCAGGGTCCCCGAGATCCAACACGAGCTGCTTCACTGGCTCCACTTGGAAGAGCCTGTGCCAGGAAATTGTGAGTAGGCCGAGCAAGTTCCTACAGGCCTCGCTATAAGGCGCCTGTGGGAAGCTAGAAGCAACACACAGGCTAAGCCCATGTGTAGGCCAAGGGGCTGCAGTCCAGCACAGGTGGCTCGTCGGCGGTTCACCCAACCACAAGTCTACTGGGTCCCATTTCATGGCTGTTCGGAAGTATGAACTGGACAAATCGACATGCCTTCTGTGCATTTCCCCTATTCTATGCACTTTAATACGCAGTATTGTCTAGCGCATACATGCTTCCATGTATACAGTTTCGTATATTATTCCCACATTTGCCGCCCATTCCACTAATACTGCTGCTTCCATTCAGGATCTGGATCACGGCTTTCAGAAAGCGTGAATAGCAACAGGTGACCCTATTTCCTTGGCTTGCTGGAGCCTGCGCAATGCAAATTGGGCGCTCCCACAACAAAACAGGACTATTTGTTCCTCGTCACTAGTCCTGGCACATCAATGGAATACCAGTGTCCCATGGCAGAGAGCAGGGTGTGGCTGGTCCCGAAGTGAGGCGGGTGCCCCAGCAGACCCCCGTCCATCCGTGTTGCCTGGGCCAGAGCTGGAGGCAGACCAACAAGCAGGCTTAAGCCAAGAAGAGCAGCAGCTCCGGGAAGCTTTTCCAGTGCAGCCCTGCTGAGCTTTGGGTATCTGGCAAGGGCCCGGCAAGGCCTGGCTTTCTGCATGGGCCATTCATTGCAACTCATTCCTTGAGACCACCGACCAGGATCTCTGTGCCTGGCACAGTGTGAAGCGGCAGGCTGGAAACAGAAGAGCAAATGCAGGCGCTTGTTGGTGGGCCCCTGCTGGGGTGGGCGTCAGCCCTTGGCAGAGGCTTGGTCATGCCGAGCCTCTACGCCAGCCTTGTCTGAAGGATAATGTCAGGCCAGTCAATTGCCCTTCTTTGCATCTGTCAGAGTCTCTTTACCAATGGCGAGAATTAATTACCAGGACCCGCAGGGAAGACTGAATCGCCTTGGAACCCAGTGTTTCTATTGGTGAGATCACTCAGGACCCCTGCAGTTACCGACGACACAAGCTCCTGAGTAGTGGTTCTCACCGCCAACTACAAGCTTTTAGAACATATGCAGAGTGTTTTATAGATTCTGAGCCGCATGGGCCCAGCAACTGGGCAGTCGATGACAAAATAAGGGGAACACCGTCAGAAGAAGGTGAGAGGTCTGCAGAGGGGGCTCAGCACAATGGCATTTGATTGCAGATTAACATAAAGATCACTGAGGCACAGGTATTGCTGTGGGTCTTGGCATGCAAATGAGGGTGACCGCAATGCCATTAACCTGGCAGCCTCTCAGTCCTTACTGCTCAGCAAACCAAACGTCACTGGTTTTCGCAATCCTTTAAAAAGTATTTTCTTCCGAATACTAGGATGCCTCCACAGCCAAATAGCCCTTGTTTTGCTCTTCACAGGCCTTATTGTAAGGAAGGTATTCTGATGTCCTGCTTAGGCAAATCTTTTATGTCAAGCGTTTTTTCTAGGGATCTACTTGCAACAAAAGATAGAAAAAGCAAAGGATTGGTGTCACAAAGTTGCTCCTGAACTCAAGCTATTGTGTGCTTAATGCCGCAAGAAAGAAAAAACAAACAAACAAACCCTGCATTACTAGTAACATTTGCATAATGGGAAAAGCAGAGTGGGAGAAGTTACCTGGTGACCTAGGGCCAATTAAACCCCGAGATTCTATCTCACAGAATCCCCAGAAGATAAATTGGCCAAGGAACTTTTCCGACCCCATCAAGCAAAGCAGCAGAGCTATCCGTGCCCATTTGAGCAACACCAGCAGGGTTAGAGCAGCCTGACCCACAGTGCATTTAAATGGCCACTGGAGACCTTGGTGACTTGGGATGCTGATGGCATCACTGTTCTTGCTCTCTGCCTCACCCTGCTGCCTGTTACTGTTTCTTACCATCCAGCACTGAGCTCAGGACGTTGACCATGGGAAAGCGGCCAGCTTTAAAAACAGCCTTTGGCGTGGTTCCGGTGTTAGGCAAGGCCTGAGAGAGCCACTCAGTGATCTGTTGGGGATACATCAGATGCCCAGACGGCCGCCCCCCAGATCTTAGATAGAGTTGGACCAGTTATGGCCTGGGAAACAAGGGGCTTGGGTGGCAAGCTAATTTGAGAATGCCGCCTAATGCTCTATGGGCCCAAGTGAACGAATTGCCTGGCACAAGGACGAGTGAATGTTATTTGCTGAGATTTTCCCCAGACTAGTTGTGTGCAAGAAGCAGATGTGATTATTGTAAACATGGGGAACCTGTATAATTTAAGGGAATCTTCCTAAGAGCAGAACTGCGATGCAGAATGAGCTGCGGACGGTGCAGCTGCTGCATAATGGGTAACAGTCCTTCCATTCTCATTTCTTTGTGGGAGTTCCTGACCACAAAAGCAATGCAAGCATTTTCACTGTGTCTCTTGTCTTTCTCAGCTTTATTTACACTCCCCCAGAACGGTTTAATCATCACCTGCACGTGTGCTCATTAGCTCAGGATCCTAGAAAAGAACTGTCGCCTTTGGCAGAACACGTATCTTGTTCTAGACTTGAAAAACTGGTCTCCCCCAATCTTCCTATCCCGCATGTGTCTCATCACGGCAGCATCCGCCTCTCCCTTTTTCGGGAGATGAGCCACTTTGCAAGGGAAAAAACGGGTAGCTGGAAGAATGGCGTAGAAATACATCACTAAACAAAACAATGGGAGGAAAGCTTCCTACCCAGTCACAAAAGTGACCTGAAAAGTCAGGCCCAATGACTCCAACTATTCCCCCTGTCCAAAAAAAAAAAAGAAGAAACAAGGAAGCACGCCCTGCAAGCGACACTGTTCTCCGTACAGGCACAACTGACACACGTGTGCATTGGATGGTGTGATGTGCTGAAGGTCTAGAATTTAAAGGAATGGCTCAAGGCTTAGTCCAACAGCCAAGTTGCCGGCTGCCTCTGATCACCCACAAATGGCTGAGATGGCAAAGCTGCTCCTGCCAGCAGCCCCCGAGGCACGGCGGAGAGCGGCCAGATGAGGCACCGGATGAGGTCGTGTCTGCAGCAGGTTTCCTGGAGATGCTCCCTCGACCTCAGAGCAGCTACGCAGCACGACGGAGGTGCGGGTAGCTCTCGACGGTCTTCGCCACGGCTTCCTTCAGGCCAACCAATGGCTTGTAGCCCATGTCCCTCTTGGCACGCTCGCAGCTGTAGAAGTGGAACGTCCCGGCCAGCGCCACTCGCATGGGGGTGAAGGTGGGACTGAGTGCGACAAGGGGGCGGAGCAGCATCACCACCAGGGACAGGAGAAGGGCCAAACAGTAGGCCAGCCAGTAGGGAATGTGGTATTTAGGAGCTTCATAGCCCAGCCCCATCAGGATGCGGGACAGAAATTCCCAGAACGGAACGGGCTCATCGTTTGTGATATGAAATGCCTGCAAGAGGAGAGAGAAAGTGGGGAGTTACCTTCCTGTCTTCAAAACCTTATTACATTACCAATGAATGCAAATCATTTGTTTTTTCTTTACAATGCTTTCAGACCTCCATCTCAGCCAGGAAAGCATCATGGCATGGCTTGCACACATCAGATAAAAGCAAGATAGCACTTGCCTGCGGGCTTGCAATCTAAAACACGACACGAGAGGAAAGGGGAGAGAAGGAAGAGTGGGGAGAGGTAGAACAGACCTGCTCCCATTAGATCCCGCTCTGCTTCTGCAAGTGCAAAGACATTCTGGGGGGGTTTTGAATAAAAAACGTACGAGCAAGCAACGTGTGCAAGGAGAGGGCGTTCTCCCTTAAGCATCTTTAGCCACATCTGATAAAAAGGTCTCACCTTCCCACACAGGGGAGAGTCTCTCCGAAGTTGCTCTGCAGCCAGGATGTGCCCATGGACCACATTCTCCACAAAGGTAAAATCCACCAAGTTCTTCCCATCACTGCAAAGAACGGAAGGGAAGGTCCTGCTGGTCAGATCAATGCTAACCCACGTCGTCCAGGATTCTTCTTCGCAATGGCCAACCACATGCCCACTGCAACCTCCCAAGCAAAACATGAGTCCAAGAGCACCCTCAGGCCCTTGCTACCCAGCCACTGGTTTCCCAGGCAGGCTGCCTCTGCTTCTGGCCATGTATAAACCGGAAGGGGGACCTACCCGATGATGAACTTCATCTTGCCACTCCTGGCTGCCTGGACAAGGATTGGAACCAGCTGAGGGTCCCGTGGGCCAAATATGCCGTGCGGGCGAATGGCAACTGTGCAGAAGTTCCTCGCTGGATCATTTGCACTCAGCACCTCCTAGAAGACAGAAGGCATCTCACAGACTCTTTCAGAAAATCTAGACTCCAATCTGCCCTTCGCATGCATCTCCTCAGCTCTAGCACTGTCAACTGACCTTTTTATTTAAATGTTTTTTTAATTGTTAACTTTATTGATTGATTTTAATAATTTCTCGCCAGGATGTCTCCAATATTTTATGTAATTGTATCATTTATATTTATTTATGTTTGGAAGCCGCCCCGAGGCTTATGCGAATGGGGCGGCATATAAGTTCTCCAAACAAACAAACAGTTCCAAACCTCACTGCATATAGTCTGGATCTTGGAAAAGAACGAGTGACATTACTAAACCCCAGAATGTCTGGTAGGAACTGGGCAAATACAAGACCCCTCCAGGATGAAGACACAGTTCATCCAGCCTGGCATTATATTCCCTTAACAGGGCAGAAAAATATTTCATTATAAGTTACATGTGTCTAATTAAAATACGTGTGTTTATTCACCAAGTCATTCATTAAACAAAAATTCTATCCTACTCTCCCCTGACTAGCTTACAAACACTCAAATTTGGGATGACAGAGTAAGTGGCCTTCAGACTTCACCTTGGTTAACCAACTGGGAGTCTGAAAGCTTTGGAGATCTACGGACAATCGACCTGTAAACCCAGGTCTACTTCTGTCCACTTCTGTCATAACACAGTTCCACCAGCTGCAAAGAAGAGGAAACGCACACATTCAAACCTTCTCCTGCAGAATCTTTGTTTCTGTGTAATAGTCAATGGGTTTCTTGGCATAGGGGAGGTCTTCGGTTCCATCTTTGATGTCTGTGCCCTCAAAGACAACACTAGCACTACTGGTCAATACCAGCTTCTGCCGTGGAAAGGAGAAATAGAGGCAGAGAAAAGTTTTACAAAAAACTCCAGAATGTTTGGTAGGAACTGGGCAAATACAAGACCCCTCCAGGATGAAGACACAGTTCATCCAGCCTGGCATTATATTCCCCGAACAGGGCAGAAAAATATTTCATCGTAAGTTACATGTGTCTAATTAAAATACATGTCTTTATTCACCAAGTCATTCATTCAACAAAAATTCTATCCTACTCTCCCCTGACTAGCTTACAAAGATTAAAAAATAAGCCATGGACTCCCAGGCTGTGGAACTCTCTCTCGTCAAAGCACCACCAAATTTTTTTGTTTATTTGGAGCGACAGCTAATATATAGTGGGAGAAGAAGCAGGAAAGACACCACATGATTGACAGGTGGGCAAGAGAGGAAGGTGGTTGGCCATCTCCGAACTCAAGGAGGCTGGATCAGAACAGGAAGGGCAGATTTGGCCCAATTGCCTGAGGTTCTGCACCCTTTTTCTAGGTGACGGCACATGAACATCCAGAAAATTCACTGTGTCTCTGTCCTTTGCTTTAGATTTCTAGCGTGATGCTTACCTGGACACCAGCTTCTTTACAAGCCTCCACAACTGCTTTGGTCCCCAAGTAGTTGACTTTGTAGAAAAGCTCTCTATTGTTGCTGGACGGTGCCGGTGACGCACAATGAAACACCATTGTCACCCCTTGTAAAGCTGGAAGCAGATCCTAGGGGCACACGGGAGAGAGTGTGACAAGCGAGGCATATGGGGAATCAGGACAGCTGAAACTGGTCCTAAGGACAGGTTCAGGCTCTCCGTGGCAGTTCAGACCCAGTGCCCCAAGAAGTGAGCTGAACATTAAAAAAAGCAGCAGAAAACCTTGATGTACTGGAGGTTAGGGAGAGCATCATCTTTTGGGGTCACTCAGCATTTTAAAAGGAATTGTGGGAAATCTGTACATCTCCCTCTGAACGAGGTCATATCTTCATGTATTTCCAAAGTCCACAGGAGTCAGGATGACAAAGGCTGCCATTGCTTGGTACCTGTTTACTGCCCATTCCTCTCCACCTACCTTCTCCAGCAACAAAACAGTAAAGATATGTGCAGCACACTGGCTGAACTTGAGATCTTGGCTTGTTGCTCCCTCCCTAAATCCAGGCTTGTAACAGGAACAACAAGCCAGGATCCCAGGCTGGGGTAACGTGCTAAACCACAAGGGAGGCAATTCATTCAGCCCAGGGGCGAAATTACATTTTGGAGACATTCTCGCAGAACAAATTTCAGCAGCAGGCATGGACAAAGATAAAAGTGGCAGGGTCAAAAATCCCTCTTCCTGCCAGTGAGTAACTCCTAGGAAATGCATTTCAGTCTTTTAGAATGGTGGGAAACGGAACAAAAGCCAGGAAACCACCAAACGGCCAGTGAATAGAGCCAGGAGAAGGGGATGAGGCCAGACAGGGAGTTCAGGATGGGCACATCTGCCCCTGGGCCCAAAGTTCACCTCCACTGTTTAAACCACTTCTGGGAAGAGCCAAGAAATGGAAGCCAGTCAGCAGGCAGCTTCTACATAAGCCAGGATTCTCCAGGAATCTGAGAGCCAGTGTGGTGTAGTGGTTAAGAACGTGGGTCTGAGACTCAGGCAATCTGGGTTCCAGTCCCTGCTCAGCCATGGAGCCAACTGGGTGACCTTGGGTTAGTCACAGACTCTCAGCCCAACCTACTCCAAAGGACGGCTGTTGTGTGGATAAGACAAGAGCAGAAAGAAGGGAATGATGTGAGCCACTTGGAGCTCTTTAATGGGAAAAGGCAGGCTATAAATCCAATCCATAAACACAAATAAATAAATGCCGCTTAACATCAGCTCTTGGATTCCTTGCCAGGACCACTGCTGAGCTGCAACCTCAACCTGAGTCTGCTGACCCACTGCCATCACCTCTTTGGCACCCCCCGCCACAAGTCAGTTCATACCTCTTTGCTGCAGAGGTCGCCCAGGAAGAACTGCACCTTGTCATTCTCGAAGCTCTTGCGGATATCAAACACGGTGACTGAGTAGCCTTTCTCCACCAGGTGCTCCACCAGGTGCTGTCCCAGGAAGCCCGAGCCACCAATCACAGTGCATTTCTTACTGGTCTGTCAACACAAGTAGCAGGAGCTGTGTATGCAGCAGAGACAGAAGGTACTGCGGAACCGACATAAGTGTGCAAGCCTGTGGAAGAACCTGCTTGCCTAACTGTCATCCCCAGCAGGCATTCCAGAGGCACAGGAGAGGATGCAGGGTCATTGCCGTTCCATCAGCCCAGCTGAAAGACTCACTTGTTCTTCCTTCTTCACACCTTCTCAGACAGTAAACCCGAGGGCACAGGTTGCCCTGTTTTACTGATTTGTTTGGGAAACTTTGGTTGAAAAGCAGGTCAACAAAAACATTAACCAAATAAGTAAGTACTTAAAGCCTTTGGGAAGGAGAAAAGGATCTAGATGATGTTCATTGTGATAAAGGCTACCGCTGAGAAGCAAGCCTAACATTCAAGCTGCTATTTGACCAAAAGAAAACAAATCAAAGAATTGGACATAACTTGACACAGCAGTTCAAAGTCCTTTGGAAAAATGCAGGTATCACCAATCACTCTTTCCAAGTGCTTCATAAAAGGTCACCAGTCTGCTACAGCATTGACACTGGGCAGGGAGGCCTCAAGGTGGATTGAGCTCTCCTAGAAGATCACCGGGTGATCCACAGTGGATCAGAGTTTTTCCGACTGCTCCTCCCAGCACCCGCTATGAAATGGAGAGATCTTCAGCTGGCTTGTGCTCACACTCAGCTGAACACAAATGATCAGGACCCCGACAAAGGAGGGTTCCTGGTTAACTAGATCTTTCTACTTGCATTCCACCGGGGGACACTGGAGGCAGAGCTGGTGGGCAGAGCCCTACACCTCTTGTGCCTATTGCCTGTGTTGGACATAATAAGCCCAAACACTGTCTTGCTTAGCAGTTTATTCAACGGAGAACAACTGATCTGGAAAAAGCAACATTCCTGTATAGGAGATGCTGCCAGTCCACTGAAAAACGACTTAATTTGTCCTTTGCTGCCCATCGCTTTTACCTTTTTTTGTCTTAAGATTATAAGCCTACAGGTAGGAGTTGTCTTGTATGACCAAATGCACATAATATGCACCAGGAGACTTTCTGGGCAAGAAAGCTTAAGCACAATGTAAATAAATGATAAAGAAGGAAACAGCACAATCAAGCAGGAGCAGGAAATCCAAGGGAGGTTCCTGCATCCAAGAAAATGACAAGCTTACCGACTGCAGTCTCATAGCCATGCCAAGTACGTCTCTGTGACCGGGCGGCAAGAGGAACGCTAGAGGCACACAGCAACTCGCCAACTTCTTCCTGGGTTCAAACAGATACAAAAAACATGCAGATCAGCGAACAATTAAAAGTTCACCCCCATCATCACACCTCACAGGCATAGGAACATAATGACGTGTTACTTTTAAGTGGTCCTAAATCATCTCCAATTAGTTTTATGGGGATGGAGAGGAGAGGAGAGGAGAGGAGCCGCCACCCAATGGAATTGACGGGCAGGGCACTTTCTAGACAGAGACAGCTGTCTGCACCCCATATTCGTCCACCATAAATCCCATTCATCGCAACGGGCCCATACAGAAATAGGATTAGAAAGAACAAAGCGGCGCCTTCCACGGGGGACCGCCCGGCCCGGGACCCACCAGCGCCGCCGCTCCCCCCGCCTTCTCCTTCGCCTCCGCCTCCGCCTCCGCCGTCCAATGGGGCCGCCGGGCCACGCCCCGCTCTGGGCGCCGGCAATCCGCGCGCGGCATCCAGGCTGGCTCCGCCCCGGTCTCGGCTCCGCCCCTATGCCGAGCATCGGCCGACCGCCGAGCCGCTCTCCCATTGGCTCTTCCGCCCGGCTCCGTGGGCCAATCAGCCTCTTCCGATGGCAGCTCTGTTTACGGCGCTCGGTCCAGGTTCAATCCGATGGTCGTTCGCGGGCGACCAATAGCGAAGGCGGTTGTTTGGAGGGTTGGCCTGGGGGAGGCGAGCCAATGGGGAGGCGCGATCTTGCGCAGCGCCGGTGTTGTGGTGACGGTTGAGCGTGCCGCGTTTCGACCCTCCCGCGATCGCGCTGGGACCGGTCCGGGATGGTCAGTGCGCTTGCGGCCGGGGGCCTGTGGGGGGGGGAGAGCGCGCCTCTTCCGGGCCTCGCCTCCTGGCGGGGACGGAGACCGGTGCACGGTCGCTCATGCTGTTCGCTTCTGCAGAGTCTGATTCGTGCAAACGGCCGCCCCGCAGCCGCTTTGACGACCGAAGCGGCCCCTCGTGCTGGGCGGGGCGGGCGGGCTGGGTCGTGCGCAGGGCGCAAGGAGCAACGGCTCTCTTCCCTGCCTCTCCGGAGACTGGCCGGAACCGGCCGGCCTGCTCCTCGGTCTGCTGCACATGCGAGGCGAGATCGCCGCCGATTTGCATATGTCAGTCGGTCGGAATCTCGCGGGCTCTTTCGAAAGGGCGATGCATGAGGCTGCTTCGTGGTCCCAACCCGGGGGGTGTAGCTGTGTCCAGGCTGCAAACTTCTCCGTGCCCGTCCTTACGGGTAGAAAAGTGGCGTGTTAGAGGGAAGGCTGAGCCCTTCCTTTCTACATCCACGTTGTCTAAGTGCAGCAGGTCGGGTGGGGTTACGTTGGCTTTTTGGCATGGATCAGTATTTAGTTCTGTGCTTGGCTCAAATGTATGTATTGCAGCTTAGAAAGAAATTGGCTGATTCAGTGCAAACTAGGATGGAATTTGACTTGTGCTGGGACCAGGAAAAATATCCCTAGTTTGGCAGTGAAATTACCCAGGGTCATCAGAATTACCCATTGTAAATAGCTTTCTTAAATGCGCTTTCCTGGAAGGAAGGATTACTGGGTTTCATTTTAAGCAACATGCATAGGATTGTGTTGTTAAACCATGCAACTAGTATGACTTATCCAAAGAACACTGACATTATGAAAGTACAAACATTGCTTTAGATCATTAAGTAAGCATGAAGCATATTATCTTGGTGATCCTTACAACAACCCTGTAAAGTAGGCATCCTTGTGCTCACATTGTCCTTATGTGAGGGCAGTTCCACCTGTGTAGCTGCCAAAAGGCATGTCCCACAACTGTATGCTGTCACTTCCCTTGAAGCATTCTTCCTGAAATGTCACCTGTTCTCATTTCATTTTCACACAACAAGCAAGTAATAAAGTATTATCTCTCTTGCTGACCTGACCAATAATGTTGGGCAGAAAGCTCTCTGCAGTTGAACATCACCCACCACTGATTTCTGCAGAATTTTTTTCCATTTCTGCAAATTCCTGGTCTCAAAAAATTAATAAGCCAATGAACTGAGAGCATTAAAGCAATACAATTCATTGTTTTGACTACTCTTTGCATGTGTCTATTTCTTGGAGACACAAATAATAAATAGTTGCACCTCGTAGATGCATAGTTGATCTGTTTATGAACTTGATAAAATGAAACTAAATATGTAGCAACTCAGAATCTCATTTAGGACAAAAGGAGAGAGAAAGAAGAAACTCTCTAATTCAATAATATCTGGAAACTGAGCATCACTTGGTTCTAGTCATCATCACAGGTCATGGTGCTTTTTCTGCATTGGCAAATGCCTAGTAAATTGAGCAGGAGACGTTTATATCCTTTGTTGAAGATATGATATCCTATCCACCACTTTCTTCTCTACAAGCAGAGTTTCTTAGAAGTAGAACTGTGATTATTTTCTCTATGCCAATGCAGAAGATCTGCAGTTTGGTACAGATGTTGGTACTCTGAGAATTTTAACTTGTTTTTTTGTAAGGTAGGAGAATTTTAAAAATGAGTCCGCTGTCTTTTGAATGCTCAGAATGAAATACTTAAGGCAATTTAAACTACGTTGCTGTCTATCAGTTCTCATTCTTGTCTTTGCTCCATATTTGAAGGCCTCCAGCTACAAGAAGACATCACTGGGGGCTTCAGTTCAGAGGAAGAAGTCAGCCCCCAAAACTGACCTTACTGAAGAGCAGAAGCAGGAGATCCGGGAGGCCTTTGATCTCTTTGATACTGATGGGACTGGAAACATTGATGTGAAAGAGCTGAAGGCAAGTGACAGAACATGATAGAAATTAGTAAAGGCTACAGTCCTTTTCACACTTACCAGAGAACTAGTGGTACTTGCTTCTAAATACAGGGTGACTTATTTTATATTGTTACTTATTTTATATTGTTATTTCTGTATTCTACTTCATGTTGTGAGCCGCCCCGAGGCTTCGGCGAATGGGGCGTCATAGAAATGTTTTAATAAATAAATAAATATACATATATAGGGTACCACTCTCCATTGCTGAACAGACTGGAGTTTTAAGGGCTAAAGTTATAGGGTCTCGGTATGGCCACTCTATTTGCTTTGTCCTTTTTCTTCCATTATACATTATTTTTGTGCATGTTCTTTGGCCTTATCTGTGCCGAGGAAATATTAAAATTATTGACATTTGATAAAGCTAACCTTAACTGTATCCTATAAGATAAGGAGAGGAAGAGAAGATGGAAGTGTTGGAACCTAGCGTGACCCTTCTTTTGCCCCCCCCTTTTCACTTTATCCCTGGCTATTGGCCAGAAGGGATTATCATTGTGTTTCCAGGACCTCTTTTAAAGTACACCAGTAAGAACTCCTTAGTTCCCTTTCTTCTAGCCCATCATCTTGACCATAGAACATTTCAGTGTCTGCTGATGGAAATAATAAGTCTCCGATGCATTATTTTTTCTTCTGTCACTGTGCTGAGCGTTACAGGTTAAGAGATGCTTACTGTTCTTCATCCCACTTGAATTTCAGTTTGTTTTCATTATTTGCAGGTTGCCATGAGAGCACTTGGGTTTGAACCCAAGAAGGATGAGATCAAGAAAATGATCTTAGACATTGACAAGGAAGGAACTGGAAAGATAACCTTCAGCGACTTTTTAGGAGTCATGACCCAGAAAATGGTAGGTTGAGCTGGGCAGTCTCAATAGAATCTTTGGGGGAAGTTTATATTTAAAGGGATTATAACTCTGCATTGTAGACTTTTAATTATCAATGTGTGAAGGTTTGGTTTATAACAAGACTCTTTCTTTTTGTAAGTCTAAAGATGAGGCTGAAATTCAGAGGCCTGTGGCAGAACCATACTTTTTCAGCTGTTTGAGAGATGGATAAAAAGCCATGAAGATAAACCTTTCCTTGAATTCTTGTATGGACAGATGGCTTGCTGTTCTGTGCTTGTTGAAAACGGAGTGCTATTTGGACTTTGAGAGAGAGAAAAAGCCTTCCTATCTCAGAGGTCCTAATCAGAACCTCTTCATTAGGTCCACCAAGCAGAATCTGTCCTAAATGGCTGTAGCTTTCTTTTGCTCATGAGACTGTGTTCATAAGCAAAAGTGTTGTTATTATTATTAGCAATTAGCTGCACTTTGGTTGTAGGCCTCCACTTTAATCTTACCTGGGTAGGAAAGAAAAACCTGGGTTTTTCAATATTTCATTCTTAATTACACATTTTCTGAAATGCTTCAGATCTTTTTTTTTTAATTAGGCTGAAAAAGATTCAAAAGAAGAGATCCTGAAAGCCTTCAGACTGTTTGATGATGATGAAACTGGCAAAATCTCTTTCAAAAACCTTAAGCGTGTGGCCAAAGAACTGGGGGAGAATCTTACAGATGAGGAACTTCAGGTACGTGTGCCATGCCTGAACTGCTGTTTAAATGTTCTGTTTAGGGCAAGGGCAGGCAACTTGGTACCTTCCCAGTGTTTTGGACTACAAAACACTGGGAACTACATAATTTCCAACCCCTGACTATGCCAGTTATATTTATGAAGTTGTAGTCTTAAAAAAAATCACAGACATTTGGCTGCTTATCCCTGCTTTAGGGATTTATCATGCTTACCATTGCAGTGCATCTCTGGTATCCAGGTTCTGTAGCTTGTCATGTTCCACAGACTTGACAAGCTTCTTCCTAGCCTTTGGCTAAATAGGACATCCGTAGTAAGAGGCAGTGAGTAGCATAGATGGCGCAGACAACGCCTACTCATGAGTCAGATTGAGTGGGGAGATTCTGCCTGCCAGGGCCCCTAATGTGACTATCAAGAATTTGGCAAGTTGGTTTCAGGGTGGGCAGCGGAGTGACGCTGCAGCCGAGCCTGAGGGGGAAAGAGGGTAGGCAGTGCCAGAGGATCTTGGTTGTGTCTGACTGGTAACTTGCAGCTCAGATTGCCTGGAAATCTTCTGAATGTCTTCTCATTGCTTTCTGAGTGTCGGGAAGAATTTCATGTTTTTAATTTCCATGTGTTGAAAGTTAACATTAAAAGCAGGATGTTTACAGATTTTTGTGCTAATTAAGTTTTGCTGAATGTCAGTGTGAAAAGGTTTAGCCTACAAGGTGACTTATTAATATTGTAAATAAATAAGAATAATACTTATTTGGATGAGGTTCAGTCAGTGTACAAAGTAATGCACATTGGGAAAAACGTATCTCATAAACTTCAGTTCCTTTCGGAACCCCTTGTGCAAGAAAGACATCTGCAGCAAGTCCTTTTGGCTCACTGGGTTCTTGTTTTGATTCCTTGTCGCTCTGCAGGAAATGATTGACGAAGCTGATCGAGATGGCGATGGGGAGGTCAACGAGCAGGAGTTCTTGCGGATCATGAAGAAGACCAGTCTCTACTGAAATGTTCGGCATGCCATGTCTCAGTGTGTGCTGTTGAGTCTCTCTGCGTGTTGGCTGAGTTTTGTGTATGTGGCTCCTCTTGGGAAGAGATGAGCAGTTGGCTGAATCTCACCAGCTTTCTGAGATGACCCTTGTGGTTTTTTTCATACCATGATATCAGTTGTCTTTCTCTCCTGCCCCCTTCCCCTGACTCTTCTCTCATTGTTGTAAATATAAAATATGGATTTGAAATACAAAAGTAATGTGAGGCCTGCTCAGTTAAGCTGCCTTTGGAAGGATTTTGTGTACCAAAACACAGGACATACACAAGGAAGTTTTGTTTGTTTGGGCAGGAAAAATTTATTTTAAGAAGGACAGACATTTCTTTTTTATGTCATTTAAAGTATGTGAAGCTTGTGGTGTGATGGCACTTAGTACTTGCCAAAGTGAAAAGATACCTGATGGTTTCACTTCAGCTTCTGTTCCTGACCCATATTGACCATTTTCTATCCCCACCATCAGTGATTCTTTATGTTGCACTTGAATTACAGTGCCTACAATCTCTAAGATTTTCTTAAAAAACAGTGCACTTATTTTTAAAAACGTTGAATGTTGAGTGGGTATATCTTTAAAAACCAAACTGTCGGGAAGAAACCTGTAGCAGTTTTTTCCCAGTGCTCATGGCTAGGAATGCAAAGATCCAGTGGAATCCACTTGCTGGACTTCTTTCCCATGCTTGGCCCTGGCTAAACAGTAAACCAACCCAAAATCAAGTCTGGGAACACTAGAGGACCCCTTCTTTGTACAAAGTGTGCAGTTGTTTGTGAAAAGTAGGCAAAACCCACAAGTTGCATGCATGGGAGCAGAACTCCGTGTGTGCGGCAGATGCACCAGCTGGCCTCACGGACCCGCCTGGACTCGCTTCCTGCCAGACGCCCCCCTGAACACTTGGAGAGAAGCATACTTACAGCATAGAGAAAGTAGGCTGGAGTCCGGGGAGTCAAGCCAAGGAAATCCGATGTCTCTCATCCCCAAACTGGGTTCTTCACGCTTTCCTACTCATGGTTTGTATTTTTATCTATGAAATGTAAAACAAAATGTCATAATTAAGGTCATGGCAACAATTTTGTTTGTGCCCTTTGTTATACCGGCAGATCTCTGGGAAAGCCCAGAAGAGTGGGCTTCCGGTGTACGAGGCTGTACTGGTGCAGACCTGCTGTATGCAGCAGTAGTCCCATCATGATATTGCAAAAGCTACTTCATTATAGTACTGTAGGAACAAATTATTGCTAGAAGGGGTGAGAATAGGAGGGAGGAAGGAAAAATGAGCAACCGAAAGCTCTTAGGCAAAATTTGGCGCCTGAAGGTCTTTCTGGCCTCCCAGTGGCCAACCTCACATCAGAAGAAAAGAGAACGTGATCATGGTAAAAATGTTACAAGTAGGGCACTTCAAGGGCCTGTCACCTCCTCTAGAAAAAAACAGTTGCTAGCAAAGTATCAGTAGCTATTTTAAACTGGCAAGAGCAAGAAGTTACCTTCCATCCACATGTGCCATTGATTCTCAAAAGCAGGAAGGCCTGATGGCAAACAGAGCAGCCGGCACATCTCTAGACAGCATAAGATGTGAAATAGGGACTCTTGTGCCGGAATCCAGCTCCGTCTCTTGGCCCTGTGTCAACACAGGCCTCTGTCCTTACCATGGCAGGGTGTGTCAACTCCAAGAATGAGGATATAGCAAGGAGTATGAGAAAAGCCTCCACAATCTTTAGGGCAGTTTCTTGAAAACTGCAAATCAAGTAACGCAGGGTGATCCGGGATGGATCAGAGCCAACTGCCTTGACTATAACCCTACTTGATGTTAAAGCAAGGACGTATTCCCTTCTAAGGTAGATGATTCGTGTATTCACCGCTTAAAATAAGGTTTGTATTTCTGTCACTTTGAAAAGGAAATTTAGGTTGTGTTACTCTGGTCAGGAATGCTCACAAGACATCTCTAAGTGGGTCTGGGGGAAGGGGGGGCATCAGCCCTCCTTGATCCATTACTTCCATCAGCTGGACCTCAGACAAAAGGTATTTCAGTTGATTTTATTGAGTACTTTCCTGGATACATTCACCAAAAGTTCATTTAAATGTTAGCATAAAAGGGATTAGTACTCCATAAACAATAGCATGTTTGGCTGCATATTTATTTATTTATTTTATTTATTAAAACATTTTTATGCCGCCCCATTCGCCGAAGCCTCGGGGCGGCTTACAACAAAAAAATAAAATAACATTTTAAAATACATACAATAAAATACAAATATATAATATAAAACATACACTATAAAACAAGCCGCCCTGGCCAAATAAAATTCAATAATATTAACATTTAAAATACTGCTTAAATAAAAAGGTCTTCGCCTGGCGCCGAAAAACAAATAACGACGGCGCCAGGCGGACCATATGTCCCAGAATAGATCTTCAGCGCTCTAGGAAAAAACCTTTGCCCTCAGGAACTTCTCAGTTGGTAGCCCACAATAAACCAAGTATGCTTTACTGAGAGTCCCCCTTTTTGGAATTCTGTTCCAGCCTCCTGTTTTCCTTGCTCTCTCAAGCTGCTCATTCAGTCCGATGATGGGGCGGCAAAAGGGAGCAAGCAAAACCCATCTTTTCCACAAGGAGGCAGGCTTTCCACTCAGCAGGCTCCTAATCAGCCTCTAGTCTGACTCCTCACCCCAAACCGGAGATGCTCTACCCTTAACAGTGTGTATGCTTGGTAACTGTGCCTGGTGTCTCCAAAGTGCTGTCGTTTGTTTCCATTTCTTGCCTGCCTTTCTGGTCACCTTAGTTTTCCTGCACTGCTACCTTTGTGGTTTTTCCTGGGCATCCTTCTCCTGCCTCCCCCTCTGCCTTCCTCTTAGAACCTCAGTTCAGGGAAGATACTTGCTGCCTTTTTGAAACCATCTGGCATTAATGCAGGCCTTAACAAATGGACAGTCAGTCCTTATATTCCATATTCTTTATGCCACCTTTGTTAAGCAAGCTATGTGGTCCCTCAAATCCATCTCCTGTCCCCCAGTAATTCATTTAAACCCTATCTTTCTTGCATCCAGGTATCCTGTGGCTTAGATAATGTGTTCTAATGAGATTTCCTTCTGGGCCAGAAGCAAAAACTGATGTGGGAGAAGTGGTTGTATAACTATCAGTTTGGCATTGACCTTTGACCCAAAACAAGGAAAGAAGTCTCTTCTGTGGAGCAGTGATCAGGTCCATGCGAGTCAGAAGTGACAACAATGGTGGACATTTAATCGAAAATCATGTAAGCAAGAACATAAATCTTGGCATTAAACATGAATATACTGCACATTTTTTTGGTTGGTGGGTATCTGTTGCCAGGACACTAACCTATGGATCTTTTCTGGGCTGTTGACTTGACTTTCCAGGTATTGAAGTCCTGTGAACTGATCCCAGGGCCTAGAAGCGGACAGCGTGAGTTGCCTTGCGTGGAAGCTAAGGTGTAGGCACCTACAGGATTCCCAAGACATTGGGCATTCAGGCACAAATAAACTGCCATGCCTGCGATTTGACTTTGTCTGGGCAGTGACATTCAGTGTGGCCAAGTGGAAATTACTCAGAAAAGTGGTTATAACTTCCTAATTGACTTGAACTTCCATGACCACAGAAGTAGCTGTTTTGGAATGTGAAATACTTCAGTCTTTCACAACATAGAAAGGGAATTAAACTGGGAAAGTGAACTGGCATTAAAGGCAGGGACATTTCTTCTGTATCTAGGGAGGCCTATCCTTCGGTAGACATGCATAGCTTAGCATTGCACTGTAATTAAATTAATAAGAAGTCTGTTCAGCGTGTTCTCTGCAGGCGTCCCCTATCCCAGATGCTCAGGGTGGTGCTGTTGGTCTATAGAAGAATATAGGAGATAATTGCTCATACTGACACAGCTAAGCGCTGGGAAAATAGCAGAAATATCTGAAGTGACTGAATATTTCCAAAAATAGGGTGGAAGAAAATACCAACAGAGTGCGCTGTTATGAACAGAATATTAACCCCGATTTAAACAAATTTATCCTTTTGTCATAATCTGATGTACTGTGCAATTCTACACATATCTACTCTGAATTAAGTCCTGTTAGGTTCAAAGAGACTTATTTCCAGGTAAGTTTGTACAGGACATACCATCTCTGGATGTCCCCTTGAGTGCAATTAGGCTAATTCTCCAATAAGTTATTTGCATGCAACTTTGCAGTATGATTCTGCATCTTTCCACTTTGGAAGTAAACCATGCGACTGCAATGGAATTTACTTCCAGGTAATTGCATCCTTATAATGCAGTCCTGTATAAATCTACTCAGCTAATTCCCACTGAGTTCAGCTGAGCTTATTCCTTAGTAAATGGGCATAAGATTGCAGTCTTCACAATGTTTTCATTCTGTCTTTTCCTCTCTATATTATTTTTCTATCCTAACTGATTTCAGCTATTTGAATTGCACATGTGTCATACGACCTTTTCATAAAAGGGTCAAATGAAATGATCAATTTCAAGCAGGGAAGCCTTTTAAAAGCCTGTAATATCCCTTTCCCAAGAAGAGAAATGAGGCACAGCAACCCTACTAAGAATAAATATTTCGAAGGGCAGGGATTTCAGTGATGCACCTTCTTTTGTGTAGGTGTCTTTAAAAAAATAGTTTAAAAATTTTAATAGAAAAGGAGGATTCCTATAAAAGATCCATCAGTGGTGAACAAAACATTTTCAAATTACATTTGAAACCATGCTGTTTTATGCTTTATCCCTGCCCTTAGGGGGTATCAAAATATTTTTCAAAGAGAGGGAAACTTCTATAGTTACCTTTTTTTAAGATTCTTAAACATCTCAATTGTTGGACTGAATTCCATGGGACTTACTTTGAGAAGACACATATCAGATAGACCACCCCTCCCCATGAAGAAGTTGTAAGGTCTTGACATAAATGTCAATATTTTGAAGGGGCATCATTGAAAGGTGCTGCAATTACTCAAGCATACTCAGATTTATATGCCTAAAAAGTCTCAGAGTTCCTCACTAGGAAGTCTCTGTCCCACTGCCCTGCCAGGTTATTGTTATATGTCCACTGAAATGTTCATCTTAAGTTTATTCAGAAAGTGTAGCTTCCTGCTAAAGTGTTTTAACATCACATCAATTTTTATGGAAGAGTTTACAAACGTGGTGACTCTTCTATTTGAATGCAGAAGGGTTGTCTGCATCATATGCACATTGTGGATAAACTTTAGAAAGGTTTTCTTGCTATGACAAAATTAACAAGCTGTAAGAAAGTGAAAGAAAAAGTCATGAAAATTAAAACTTTTTTTTTTATAAAAAGGACACTCTTGAATTTTATAGTAACGATTGTATTTTCATACAACACATCCTCATTCAGAATGAGTTTGCTATTTGTATAAAGATACTATTTACTCTCTTAATGTATCAGGCTACAGTTTCCATTACTCCTGGCCAGGTAAAAGGATGATGGGGACTGGGGCCCAACTCATACACACCAAGTTGGAGAAGGCTATATAGGAACATAAACCTGTAAGCCAGTGAAAGGTGTCAGCAGAAGTGCAAGCTAAAAGACAAGTCTAAAAGGGATGCCCACTTTAGTTTTTCACTTGGAACCCCCAGGGAGGCAATTCATCCAGGAGCCTCAGTAAAATGCTCAGTAAAGTGGGATCTACAGCAAAATGCTTCTGCACAGAGTACTTCCATTTCGGGTTCCAGGGGACCAGCTGTGCCCTTTCTCAGGATAATGTTTTCCATTTCATCCCTGCCCCACTGTTTTCTGGCCTGTCTTTAGTGAGTCAGAAGTATATCCTCTCAGCAGATTTGGAAGTTTTCTACACTTACTTATTGTGCAGTTGTCATTTCCTACTTATGGTTGCTTACAGAGTCTTTAGATGGTAATATGGCCCTCCAGATTTACTTCTGTCGTTATACCGCACTTTCAGAATTTTTTTAAGTGCAGGAAAATGTATTACTAAAAAAAGCATGATAAGTACTTTTACCATTTGTATTATTCCACTATACCACAGAACCACCTGGAGGTTACATAGTGAAAAGCAGGAAAGGAAAAACTTCACATACCACTTGAATCTCGCTTCTACAAAACCAGAAGATAGTGGATTAATAGCCTTGGTGTGATGATTAGAATATTTGTGGGTTCCCCCTACAACTCTTATACTTTAAAAAAAATTCTGTTGATACTATCTGCGGCTGAGGATGGTGGTATTTAACTTGGCAAATCAAAATACTTTCACCCAAACTGACAACAATTGATATGCCTTTTGCGGTAATTAATCAGGCATTTCTCTATCATTAATCAATATGTTGAAACTGTGAATAAGGCTTGCAGTAAGTATCCACATTTTCCTGGGAGTAAGCACCATTGGATGGCATGAGGTTTCCTGCTAGGTAGAAATGCACACAGGTTTGAGCTGCAAGTATTGGAGTCATGCAGAATATCATACAAACCTCTTTACCCTTTTAAACCTTAACCTATTTTAGTTCACATAGCAGTGTTGTGTATTGTCATTCGACTGAACCTTTTGTGTGCATGCATGCGTGTGTTCTGTTTTTTGAAGTATTTAGCTCTTTTGAATTATTTTGGGAAGCTTTCTTGACTGCTTTATCTCCCATTTCATTTCCTTTAATAACCTCACAAGCTAAGATCTATACAAAAATGTCATTGTTGCAGTGACATATTACCATATTAGGGGCATCAATAATTTCCAAAGCCAGTTCCTTTCTCATGATTGAAATTTCCAGGATGTTATCAATGGCACTTAAAAGATCTGGAAAAGTGACAGATTGTAAAGGTTGCACTTTAGCAATCTAATTTCGTGTCATCAGAACGTCAAATAACTCAGCATTATAACCTGATAAGTAATCTAGCAGCCCAGCTGCCTTAGTGGAAATTTACACATATGGGGAGTTGAATCTTTCTAAATCCAGGAAGCACGCATGCATACACTCACACACGATTCAGCTGGTTTACATACAGGCATGGGTGGACTTAACTACCTTCTTCTCATAGAGGTGTTTGGATTTTCAGACTCAGAATCACAGAATAGTAGAGTTGGAAGGGTCCAACCCGCTGCTCAGTGGAGGACGCACAGTTAAACCCTCCCTCTCAGATGGTTGCCCTGCTGCATCTTCAGTGCCTCCCGCGTGGAGCAGCCCACAAGCTCCCTAGAAAATTGCTTCCATCGCTGTACTGCTGTCATAGTCAGGAAATTCTTCCTGGTGTCCAGCTGGAACCTGGTTTCCCGTAAGTTGAGCCTGTTATTCCATGTCCTGCACTGTGAGGCGATTGAGAAGAGATCCTTGTCCTTTATGTGACAACCTTTCAAGTACTTTACTATCCAAATTGTTTGTTTGGTGATGCATTTTGGCTTTGGGGGGAAGTGCTGGTGCTGTTTCTCTCCAATGTGCAGTTAAGATGTGCAAAATCTACACATGGTTCTTTTTCTGCATTAAGCGTTCAGCATTATATTAGCATTCGCCAGCCCCACTGCAACTTCTGAATTTTGGTCTCCGTGCTCACACTTAACTGGAAGAAAAGAAATCTTATGCTCGCAGTGCTATAGAAATTCCAAGCCACAATGACCTAACTACTTCAAGCTTTATTTTCAGTGGCTATCAGTTAAAATTAAAGTACGTTAGAGTTTTTCACTGTCTATAAATACAACACATAAAAAGTCCTTATTGCAGAATGCTTTATTAACATCAGCAGACAGTCTTACGGCATGATCTATGGTTGATCGATTTGCCTGAAAGCCACTTTAATATGGAGGAAGAAGATTGTTCTTCTCCAGAAAGAATGACAGCCAACAATAAATCATCTCCTCCATCATCTTACATAGCAATGAAGTTGGGGGCCAACAGATCATAGGAACCTAAATCAGAATATGATCCTATTTTCTTTTTGAAATTGAAAAATGAAAAAAGATCTTTCAACCATTCTTGAGGCCACCAGAAACTACAAATATAATTATTACAAGAGCTGAGCCAAAACATTACATGGGTGTTTTTGCGAACATTTTGCACAGTATCAAATCATGCCTCGCTTTCTGGTGGGTTTTGTTACGCCTTGTGAAAATGGTCATTGGCTTTCTTTCCTTGCACTCCTTTATTCCCACTCTGTTTTAATGCCCTCTTATTGGCATTTGTCACGATCAGGACCACCTGTTCATTTACCCTGCACTCGTTTACTCTCACTTGATTGCCTTCGCTTGCCCTCAGTGACAGTAGGACAACTGCACAGATATTTGGCAAACATGCCAGTCGCTTCTTACCCTTCACTTATGTGTGATCGCCCAAGGAAGGAGGTAGATATGAGGGGTGTGGAGGAAGACTCCATGAGGAGTAGGAGAGGCATAGAAATGCAAAAATAAACAAATATCCCCAAAAAGGAATCCAAAAAAAATAGCAATACTGCACAGCGTTTTGATAGCATTTGGGGAAATGTCTACCCTACCAGGATCTGTCTGAAAATCAGATTATTTGCCACCAATTTAGTTATTATGATTGGCTGAGCTAAAGACAACTTGGAAACTCCCAGATCAGCCTAGGAAACATTTATTTTCGGCTGCTTTCCAAATGTTTATTTTGCATGCAGAGAGTTCCAGATTCACTACAAATTAGCAGCTGATGAGCAAGACTTCTGAATATGATCCTGGGGAAATGCTGTCTACCAGAATATTGGGCTACATATGGACAGCAGACTGTCCTAGTAGAAGGCAGCTTCTGAAGGTACCGAAGCTGCTGCAACTAGTAACTGAATCTTACTTCAGTGCTTGCAGTCCGTTGT